TTTGTCTTTGTCATCTCTGTGTTTGTGTGTGTGTGTGTGTGTGTGTGTGTGTGTGCACTTTAAGAGCACATATTATTGCGGTGTTTCAGCTCCGGGAACAGATGTTGGGTATTGTAAATACAGGTGCAAAGAGTGCTCCGGAAGCCCCGGCGAGTAATGAAAACGTTCCTGCGGCTGTGTAATGCTGTAATGGCCAAAGTATTTCACAATTCATCTGAGGACAGCGTCGCTGGAGAGCTTGGTGTTCGAGGCATCGCTACACAATGCATCACAATGCTACACACAGTCTTGATTCTTCCCTGTTGAAATGTGGAATGCACTGTTGAAGTGCAGATGGGCTTCTCTTGACACACCTTCCTGGACTCCTGGGTGATGATCCGCTGTCTCTGACAATGGAGCTCTGTGAGGTTTCCCTTTTGAAGTCTTCTTCTACCTCTGTACGCTTCATACCTCAATTTTTTTTCTTCCTCCCTGGAAGTTGGGGGCAAGTCTCGGAGTTTACTTGGAGTTGCATGAATGAAACACATGTTTATTTAGTTTTCCTCCACGATAGCTGCACAGTGCACATGATACAGTGTAGTGTCCCATAGTGCATTATCCTAGAGAAGCCTCAGTGTGAATTATAGTCTGACCGATACTGGGTTTTTGAGGCCGATACCTGTTTGGGAGTTAAAATCTAGTATTGGCTATTATTAGTTTTTTTTAAACATATATATGGAGGAAAAAGTGAGAGAAACACTGTAAACATTTACAGTACAAAATACTTGGATCAAACTTGGATCAACAAGGCCTGAGTATCAGTTTTGGACATCCGTCTGCAGGGGTGTTTTATTGGGTTGCGGGGTACAGTAAGGGCACATATATCCCGATGCATTAATTGGACAGAGGTAGATGCTCAAATTTCTGGTTTGCTAAACTCTGACCGTACTCTGTTATGGAACACAAACACAAGTCCCATTCATTGCCTTTTAAGATTCTCCCTATCCTGGTCACTGATGGAAGCTGATTTATGGGTCATTTGATGCTCGTTGAAACTTAATGTTGGCTTCATCAAAGACTGTAAGAATAGGAAGATTCATGTCTTGTCTTGAAGGTACTTGTGGTATCATCAAGTATCTCTTGAGTATAATATTTTGTATTCTGGGGTTTGATTCTTTAGTGGAGTGGGCCAATTTTGTGAGAGGCCACGGAGGTGACCCCTGAAGAGAGGGCCTTGATTTGGGAAAAGGTCTGTTTTGGTCCTACATAATTAAGACCATCCCTTTTGCGAAACCACAAATAACCATTCTCCCCTCGTCTCCCTGGCCAATTTCAACTTTGTGAAATGAGTTCTTCCGTCTCTTCCATACCTAGTTTGGGCCCTGGTGTGATGTTTTGCAAATGTGCATTCTTGTACATTTAGGGGGCCCCTTTTCTCTCTCAATTTCCACCAAGTCTCTGGCGAATTCGAAGCATTCTGGAAAGGAGGAGTGCAAAAAAGAAGAAGAAAATGAGTCCACATAAGGTTCAGATTAAATTGTGTTGTGTTGCCTCTCTCTTTTTTTTTTCCTCCTCCCTTCCCATCGGATGTTTTCATAACTAAACCAAATGTGTGCTTGGAGTCAGCCAAGAGCAGTCAGGAGAGAGAGAATCCCTAAAGCAAAATGTTAAAGTCACATCGTTGAATCAAGTTTCCGCTGCCCTCTGGGCGTCCAGGCTGGACTCAGAGCTCTGCGGCTTATGAACCCTCTTTCCCCTCTGGTCGGGCTCTTTCTGTGCGAGGCTTTTCATTACTGCTGGCAAAGTGCACTCCAGACCGTTTCAGATTATTCTTGGTGAAACATTTATTAAACATTTGTCAGCTGCATTTTTCAGTCCCCAGGGCTTTTATGTAGCTGTACTACTGACTAGACCCTTTAAACTAGCTGTCAGTCCATGCTTACTGCAATAAAAAATCTTCTAGCTGTGCAGGATTGGGGATTGAATTTTAGAAATAAAACCTTTGCCGAAATGTAGTGTCTGCAAGGAAAAAGTTTAGGAAAAAAGCCAACCAAACAAGGGTTTTACTCGAATAAAGCATTGTTTCTCTACCTTCGCATGACACCTATCAATGCTAAACCCTTTTCTTACTGAGTTGCATTTGTTTTTGAGCACATGGTTGTAGATTTCTTCCTTTGTGGGTCTTCTTCGGCTGTCCACGAACCCTCTTTTAGAACATGATCAGTACACAGTCGTTTCTCAGCTTTTCCCCCCGTTCCATCATCCTCTCACCTTTTGAAGGGAGCGGAGGCCCTCCACCTTGACAGGGCAGACAGCTGATGGTTTGGGGTTAGTGCATATGGTGTTGTGGCTGGTGCTCCTCTCCCCAGCTTCCTTCCACATCCTGTCCTGTGTTGCCTTGTCCCTTCCACTCGGACCAGATGTTTTTGTGCAGTCTAAGCAGCGCCGGTCTGAAGCTTTAACGCAGATGAAGAGCTGAAGCGCCAGCCAGGTGGAATGATGGGATGTTTAGACCTCTGGGGATCCAGAGTGAGAAGGAGGGTGGGTGGACGGGGATAGAGAGTGAAAAAGCGAGAGAAAGACATCATACACCAGGGAGCCGGGACTGGGGAACACATTGACCTCAGCTTGCCGTGCGCACAGAAGACAAACCTGCTTACATTAATTGTGTTACTCTTTCACCTCTTCTTCTCTTCCTCTCTGTCTGTCTGTGTCTCTGTCTGTCTGTCTGCCTGTCCCTTGCCTAGTCGGAAAGGTCCTGGAAAATATAAACAGGATGCAGTCATGTCTGATCGTAAATCCCCTCTCGTCTGCTCCCTGGCCCTGCGCCCTGGACCACGTCCGTTCCCCTCCAGCCCTCACCAACCCAGCTCCCGCCCAGACACCCCCACCCCGACCCCTTTAGCTCAGAAGACGAAGCCAAAAGTTTCTGCGTGTGTGATGTGTGCATCAGGAATAGTTGTGTGTCTAATATAGTGTTACCCAACTGTGGGGTTGGAAACGTGGTTGTGGGCTGGTTTTGTAACTAGTAATCATTGTTCACATTTAACATGTAATTCACTCACAGAAGACCTGTCCTCCCACCTGTAGGGGTTAAATCTACACAGCTGGACGCAAGCTGATGCACACATGGCGTTTTCTGGAGTGTTGCAGTTCTACTTTTTAATGATTGCATGTGATATTGCAACCAGACCTACCTGCAGACCCTGTTTTTCTGAGATGTGATGTGGAGGAAATTACAAGCAGAAAAAGACCAAAGATTCCTTGTGTGCTTGACTGATTCTCTCAGTGAAGTTGCAAATGTTTGTGTACCGTTGCAGACTTCTATCTTGGCTAAACTCACCTCAAACAAAATCTGAAATAACATCCTATGCTGAGGACAAGCTGCAGAGAAAGGTCCTTAATCAATCTTCATTTCCCTCTCTGACAGAGATAACTACTTGAATGCTCCTATAACAGGGAGGTCATTGATCTTCTCACTGACTGTGCAAGGCTCCAAGGAGAAAAATAAGTTCCTGCAGGAATGGTTACATAGCTTCCTTTGAGCAAGGCACTTTACCACAGCTGCTTTTTGTCCAAAAATAGAAAACCATGAAGTTTTTCCGGGCAGATCCCCAGTGACAGCGGGTGAGCGGTCGCTGAATAAAGTTGGAAAGTCAGAGGAGCCTCTGGTTTACTTTTAACGATAACATAATTGTGCCTTAACATAGAAACCCTGGAAGCTGCTGGATTATTTGGGGGATACTGTAGGTTTTTACATGGCCATTACCTAATTATTTCAATTTTATATAAAATTTTACATTTCAGTCTTCCGGCAATGTCCCTCCTTGTTTAATATGTGCAGTATTTTGCTATTTTATGAGCCTTTAAACTCGTGGTTCAATCATTCAAAAATGGACTATCTGGATCATATTTCATGCCTCACTGTACCAAAAACAACACCCTCCCCACCAACACAGCACTATGGATCTTTGGCTGCAGGGCTGATTTTGGTCTTGGCGCCCACTTAGCTCCAATTGCTATGGAAAGGAAACCAGTTAACCAAATTAGCTATGTAATTTGTAACAAAATGATGCATCGTAGCTCACCATTAGCAGAATTTTAAGCTTGGTAATTCTCCCCATACTTTTTTTGTGTACACAGGCTTGTACCTGTTGTACCGTGTTTTCTTTTTATCAAAGAACCACATATTCTAACACATCTGCTAATATTTTGTACAGACAACTTAATCCCGGATGTACTTTGCAGATTCATATTAGCATGGTGGAGGAAGAGCATGCATGTTTAATAACCCTTCCTGTAAATGAATACCATCTTTTTTGTGACTTCTGCTTGTATGTCCGTGCTCACTCATCACCTCCACGAGGCAAGACAAAGGCTCATTCTTAATATTGACGCATCAGTGTTTGTATTGCTGTCTTCTTTTTGTTCAGATGCTGAAGTCTCTGGAACTGAGGGTATTCAAACCTTAAGCGCTTCAATTACACTTCCCTTCCCTTCGGCCTACTCTCTCTCTCTCTCTCCCGAATAATGCATGCCCAATTATTTTCGTGGTCAAAAGGGGAATTAGTGTTCATTTTGAGATTTGCATTCGCTAGGCGTGTACCATCACAGCGTGTACAAGCCTGAATGTTTTGAGTAAAAAGTTGGACTGGGTGCATGTGGGTTTGGAATGAAAACCCTCAAGCCACAACGACACTAGCGTTGCTTCTTCAGGCACACAAGCACCAGTTTCATATCCTTTTTTATGCCTCAAATCACAGTCTTTTATTTTCCAACAAATCACCTTTTTTGTTGTACAACTGAAACCTGTTTTTTTGTAAACTTGACTGATGACTTTCAGCCATGGTATTATTCTCTTGGTTCAGCTACATTTTGTAACTTTTGCTCAAGTCTGTGTCAAGTGTGTCAGTTTGTATTGAAGCATTTTTTTCCTCTGTTGATAAAAAATTAAAATAAACTTGTTTTTTATTCTTCTGGTTCAACGAGAGATTTAAAATGTGTAAACCCTCTTTCTACAGGTTTGCATGCCCTGAGGCGAGCACTGGGAGGTTCCCACAAACCATCAGATCAGCAGCTGATGGGGACGGTGACCGTCACTCTGCAGGACCTCCAGTGGGCCATGTCCGTTGTGAAACCAAGCGCCATGAGGGAGGTTGCTATCGATGTCCCTAAGGTACAGTAACCTCTGTCAATCACAGCTGCTTCTCTCTCCCTCTTTCGCTAATGAACAGTCTCTTTTTGTCTTTAGGCTAGTCAGAAAGCCAACAACATAGTTGTTTTTAAACTCAATAGACAATACAAAAATGTCTTTGCCTCATCCTGATATTGATACTAAGCAAATTTGGTGGTTCCTTATTGCATGAATGAAGCTGTACACAAGTTGTTGAAGAAGGTTTTTGTTGTTTTGTTGCACACTGAAAACACTGGTTCCCCAAAAGTACCATTAGAGAGTACTAGTTCCTGAGCGGGTACGTTTTTGCAGCAGGAACTATAGCAGAACAAAATTTTCTTCCTGGTTCCATCAGTTGAAACATTGTGAAGGTTCCCTGAACTGGTTCTTGGTCCTCTGGAAAATTTCCCGTGGTGGAAACCAACTGTAAGTGTGAATGAAAGGCTGTCTGCAGTTATTGTGGTCACCGAATAAAAGAAAAGACATAAAATTGGAAAATTGATGCTTTCCAGGCCTAGAAAACTGACAGATATAGTTTCTAAATCTTTCCAAAATGTGTCTGTGTTTTTTGTTAAGGAGCTGAGAGATGCAGCTGGTCAAGTAGAGTTTATCAGCATCTTTCTTGAACAGACATCACAAAGTGCATTACAATAAAAGACAAAAGCAACAGACTGAAAAATCTAAATACTAAGCCTAAACAGGTGTGTCCTGAGCTGCTTGATCTGTAGTCCAAATAGAGTGAGTTCCAAGGTTTAGGGCCCACAACCACAAGGTTTTCAGCCTGGAGTGAGCTACAATGAGCCAGAGGATCTCTGAGATCTACTGGTAGCTAACAAATGTCCGAATTTGAAAGAGAGCCCGTGTAAAGGAATCAAGATTTGTGTTTCATAAGACATTTTAGAGGACCTGGTCAAAAACTTGCAGCGGCATTCTGAACCACAGATTACAGATTTCTTGTTAAAGGACCAGTGGGTAGGATTTAGTGCCATCTAGCCGTGAAGTAGCAGATTGCAACTAACTGAACACCCCTCATGTCTGTATTTGACAGCTTGAGAATGAGAATAGAAAATGTATGGGAGAAACTTGGTGGCTGTGAAACTCGTGGAGTACACGCAAGGCCCTATCCTAGAGCCAGTGTTTGGTTTGTTCTGGGCTACTGTAGAAACATGGCACTTCAACATCACAGATGATGAAGAAAGGCATAAAGTGCGGTAAAAAATGAGAAAAGTATGAAAACAAAACGATCACCGCAGCTACACACTCTGTCAATGTCAACAACACGTCCATTCGCTCGCTGAGAATTCTCCGGATAACGACCTGCTCCATTCACACATCGCACTTTAGAATAGGGGGCTGGTATGGTTACATACATTTAATTTCTGGTGCAACTCATTTGGACATTTGCGTGCACACGTTGCAGTGCATGTGTGAAAGGGTCAATACAATAGACTACTCAAGGAAAAAAAATCATTAAAAGGCACATGGCATCATTGTTAATGACACAATCTGCATTGGATCCTTTGTTTGTAATCGGCATTAGTTTTGTCTCAGTTGCATTCAACCTTGCAATGGCCCCGCGAGGAAGCAGACTGGTTTACATCACACAGTCTTTGCTTCATTTAAAGTACACAACAAATTTATAACTCAAACAGCGTCACCGCTTATTGCCACAAGAGAAACGCTCATCAACAGCAGCCATGCCTCCCCTTTCCCTCTAATGCACATTCAGAAAATCCCTTAACTACTCTTTGGAACACTGACCACTGAATCACCAGCACTTAAATGATGGAGGAAGAGTGGAAATGACCCTGTGGCCATTTTACCTTCCTTTGCAATGAAGATGAATCATTTTGCTCTCAGCAGATGAAGGGAGAGAGAGAGAGCGAGGGAGGGAGGGAGGGAGGGGAAGGAGGGATGAGAGGACAGTGGTGAGACTCCAGGATGTTTTGGAGTTTGCATGTGCAAGACATAACGGACAGGAAGAGGGCTAACATCATCCTCCACCGGTAATTGAAAGCAGATCGGGTCGCTGACGGTTCCTGCCAGCAGCCAAAAAAAGAGAAAGAGAGGAGAAGAAAAAGATGGAAACGTCCTTCCTATCCCTTCACCCCCACCCGCCTCCCCTCTTCTCTCTGCAGCACTCTGCACTGAGCTCACCCAGAGACGTTCAGTCCTTGCGGCCGGTTCCTGGAAACAAGAGAGAGGAGTGAGTTTGGTTTTGGAATTTTTTTTTTTATCCCCCTAGCGCAGCTCAGCTGAAAGGCCAGCCGCAGAGCCCCGGACTTGATTATATCCACATGAGTGCAAACATTTGTTTCTAATCCATTTTATATAAGAAACTTCCAGTGGTGCCGGATGAATACACGCCTTGAGTTCCTCGGAAACCTTCTCAGATCACGTATCTAGAGACTGGAGTTTTACAGATTATGCCTCTTGATTTATGTTATATTTATATGTAAATAAATTGAAAGTTCACTCTTAATCCTTTGTTTGTTTTGTGACAAGACATCCTTCCTCTTTTTGACATCTTTCTTGTTTACCCAGCATTGCTTTTTTTAAATAATCATCTTCCACTCTGCAGCCTGGCTTTAATATTTTCATTTGGCAGCTGTATAACAAGCCTATTTATTCCTCCTTTTAAAGTTACTCCTCGTCTCTCTTGAGCTTTTTTTTGTCTAAGAAGTTCCCCGCACCCTCCTCTCAACTCCATCAAAGGGCCAGAGCCTGAGAGGCCCCTTGTAAAGTTCAGAAAACAACAGTAAAAGATAATAACTGGGTCTCGTACAAAAAGGAAGGGAGGGAAGGGGGAAAAACGCAGCACAGCGAGGTGTGAGTCAAAACATTGCCTTCTAATTCCACAGACGCTTCATTCGTGACAAAAAGCACCTTGCAATTAATGTTACTTTATATTGTTATTTCTTACAATGACTCCATAAAGTCTGCAGAGACTTAACACAAAAAAAATGCACCAAAAAGGGGGAAGATGAGACTTTACAGTGTTGTGTTGCACATCTGCTTCCTCGGTGGAAAGAGGCAAGTGATTGATTTGTGTTCACATGATTGGCAGGTCTGAGGATGTTGTCGGTCAACTCAGACGCTAGAGGCCTTTAAAGCCCCAGAACTACTACATCTGGCTCAGGTAGCAGCTTCAGGATTGCAGCTTATTCTAAGAATTTGTTTTAATTTATTTTCTGTACCTGTTAACCCACTAGTTTGACTATAAATTGTTGGGTAAGCTGTCATGTCACAAATCATAGAAATGTTTACTGAAGTGTGACATGACAACTTTTGTGCAAGGCCTTCGTTTTTTTCCCATCAGGATGCAAATTATTGTTGTTTTGCTATTTTAGGTCATTTGTTTCAGAAAACGTATGCAGTATGAAAGTCACACGGCAGAGCCTTGAAATGTACCTAAGTGTATAAAAGTATACATTTAGTTCACTTAGTTTTTTGTTTAGGTATAATTTTAACTTATACTAATGCAGTTAAGTAGATACTTGACTGAAAGAAACTACAGGACACACAGCATCCTGTTGTCCATGTTTGATTAAAGGTCCAGTGTGTAACAGGATCTATTGGCAGAAATGGAATAGAATATTTATTGTGTGTTTTTATTAGTGTATAATCACCTGAAAACAAGAATTGCCATGTTCTTATTACCTTAGAATGAGCCGTTTATATCTACAGAGGGTGCGGGTCCTCTTCCCCGGGGGCAGCATGTTGCACCACCATGATTCTACAGTAACCAGAACGGACAAACCAAACACTGGCTCTAGATAGATCTTTTGTGTTTTTTGTGAGTTTTGCAACCCCTGTAGTTTCTCCTACACATTTTGAAGGTGAGTGGTATTTAGTTGGTTGCATTCTGCAACCTCACCGCTAGATGCCACTAAATCCTACACACTGGTTCTTTAAGATTTAAGATTTTTTCTGGGCTTAATACAACATACATTACAGAGTGCAGCATATAATATACATATTGTAATGTGAACGCACCAGCCACATTAATGTCCAGTCTTGTCCAAATCATACACATAGCCACAAACACGACAAAATCTGAAGGTCCACTAGTATATTTTGTAGCTGTCACCAGTATTACACTTCTTCATCAGCAGATGGAGCTTACCCAGCGGTCATTAAACTGTATATGTTCAAAATGTCTTTTACTTTGAGCTCTGGAAGTTTTCTAGTCAATGCTTAACTTCATTGATATGATGCTGCCAAAAGCAGGCGAGTAAGTAATTATATTGTCTCTTGCATATCACTTCCCTATAAATGCTTTCTACTGTTGGTCCAACCACAAAACATTTTTTTGCTTTGCATCTGAGTTCCTCACCTATCTCTTTAGCCGTCTGTCTCTCGCTCACCTGTTTCCTCAATTTCTCTCTCTATAAGCTCGTTTTTCATTGCTTTTATCTCTCTGAACTTTTTATTTTATTTCATTCCTCTCTGGGCCTTCAGATGAGCACTCTGGTTCGCTTGCCTGCTTCCGGCCTATCTTCTCATCTCTGCAACACTCCCCTCTCTCTCTCTCCCTTCCTCTCCTCCCTCCCCTCCCCTCCATCCCTCCTTCCCCCTCTCTCGCTCGGCACTGTCCATAAATTGTTCGGTATTTACAGTATGTGGCCAGACGCCAGGTTTCCATTAGGTGCTTCGTTCCCCGGAGACGGCGCCGGTGGCCTGGGATGTGTTACCTCTGGATGGAGAGCAGGAGGAGGGTGAGGGGGAGAATGAGCACGAGAGAGAGAGAGAGAGAGAGAGGAAGCAGTGAAAAGGAGGGGAAGGGAGAGGGGTAAACTGCAGGATTTAAGGGAGAGAGCAAGAGATAGCGTGATAGTGATAATGATAAGAGCCAGAAAGATGAGGGGAAAGAGAGTGAGAGGAAGGTAAATTAACATTGCATTTACATGCACTTACTGTAAGTAACCTGGTAACTGTTGGCTTTCTGCAGTTATCTGATTAGGACTGTAACTAAGGATTATTTTGATTATTGATTATTGGTTAAGTCTAGAAAATGTCAGAAAATACCGATCATTGTTCCCAGAGCCCAGATGAAATCATCAGATAGCTTGTTACAGTCCAAAACTAAAGATATAAACTATTCATATTCATACAATTCATATAAAATTAATCAATTTAATTAATCTTCTGTCAATGACTTATTAATTAATAAACAAATAAATCCAGCACCTGATTTTTTAAATGTCATGTAGCCTCCACAATAAACCCAGTTTCAGTAATCAGGGTAGGAATAAGAGGAACCTGATTTCCACAGCTTAATTTCTCCTGGAGTATGGGCAATTTCTTGGCCACGTATACACGTAACCCAGTTCCTAAGGGGCCTTTTACATTTACAGATGTGCACAAAAAGTTAAAATAATCAAGCTTCAAAAATACTAATTCCTACAATTCCCATAATGCCACCCAATAGCATCTTTTCTTAAACTTTCCCTGCTTGTTAAATGGCCTCATCTTTCAAACTTCACACCCCCAGGCTTTTATCCCAGCCTGCGATAACCCCGACGACGAGTTATTTACTCAGAGTTTAGAAAACTCCCTCCAGGACCACAGAAGATGTTATACAGCTGTTTTTACAAGCTTAGCACGCTCTATGACGAGTAGACTGACCTTAAAGTGTATCATTAGTTGAGTTTAGTGCTGTCAACGAATAGTCAACATTTGATTACATAATCAATTTGCATCCAGCACGGAAAATAAACTTAATTTATTATACAATAGCTCAAATACGACACTGAGCAAAAGGGAGCAGGAGAAAGAGAGAGCAGTCGCTAACCGCTAAGCTAAAGCACTGTAGCAAGAAGAACTGAATAGCGTGTAAACAACTGTGGGATTAGGAACAAAGTCGCAAAAATGAGAAGGCTATGAGTGCTTGAGCAGAGTTAGTGTACGTTTAAATATACAGCAGACAACTTGATTGATACTAAAGAATATAACACAATCAACTGGGTTGATCTAGAGCAGTAAAAATGCACTACGAACAACACAGAAGCACTCAACCAGCACTGACCGCAGCACATCTGATCTAGTCAAGTCTGTTATGTATTGGTTTATGGACATAATGTCCAAACATAGTTTGTTAGTCTGTTCTGGGCTACTGTAGAAACATGGCGGTTCAACATGGCGGACTCCATGGAAGGCCATCCCCTTTGTCTGTAGATATAAATGAGCCATTTTTATCTACATTCTATGGTGACAAAAACACAACGATTCCTATATTCAGGTTACCATTACACATGGTATGAAAACATACCTATGAATGTTACTAGATTCTCCTAATTGTTACACACTGGACCTTTAAAATAAGCCATTGTTCAAAATAAATTAAAGGATGGGGAGAAATGATTGACATATATGCAAACACATTGGACGACTTTCTGCATAACCAGGTTTCTGGGGGAGGTGGAAAAGAAGCATGGAGGGAACAGAGCTAAAATAGTGAGGAAGGGGAGAGAATAATGGATGGTTAATGAAAGAAAGAGGAAGGATGAGAGATGTCTGAGAGGGTTTTGGATGTGGGGCTTTTCTTCTTATCTACTTTATCTCCTCCGGTTGTTCACTGCCGGACTCGCTCCCTCCTTCCATCTGTCAGACAGACAGCTGTTGGCTGACTCCCTCTGTTGTTGTTCACTCTGTCCAGTCTCCCTGATTCAACTCGAGCCCTCCGTTCCTCCATCTCCTTCCAAATATGCTTTTATATTTCACTTCCCTCCTCTCTCCCCCACCCCGACCCCGTCATCAGCCTGGAAGAACTTGCAGTTCTCTGCAATTTACTCGGGCGGTCAGAAAGTTAAAGAGGTCCTCCGCGTGGGTTACATGAGAACATCAGTGACATCAGCGTGCAATCAGAGTTTGTTTGGTCTGTTGCATTTATTGTTGGCGATGTGTTTGTGTTTGAGCTGCCACAGATTAGAACTGTAAGATGCTTCAGAGGAAGCAGAGTGAGTTAGAGCAGTATATTAGACCAGTGTTGATCATTTATTAGTGTTTGGCCACTCATTGTTGACCACCTCCATTTCAACACATGATGTATCTTGTTTGATTGCATGTTATTGTGTGATTAAACCTTTAATCTAGCATTTGGATTGGATTCCAGACAGGTTTGCACTCTTCTTCTACTTCTAGTAACACTATTCTTCTAATTCAACTATTTCTTATTTCTCATCCTCTTTTACTTCCTTTACTTAAGACTACTTCATGTTCTTCTACTGCTATTTTTTTTCTTTTTCTGCTTCTCCTTCTTGTTCTTATAAACCACTTTGGGGAAACACTGAATAATCTATCATACTACGTCATTTTCTTTTTTTAGCTCAAAAACAGTGTGTTCAGCTGTGTTCAGCAGCTTCAGTTAAACAGACTCGTATTCAATTGGCCTTAAAGAACAGATTTTGCTTCAACCCTAGAATACTGGATGCCAAACTCTTATGCTGCATACATGTAACCATTAAGTTACATGAAATACTGAGGTTTTTCAGATACTGATTTGAAAAATAAGATCAAGGATACTTATTGGGTATTTCATATCTTTTAGTTTTACATGAATTATGTATCTAGCCACAACACTGCAATGTAAATGTAAGTAAAAATGTTCCCTGGTTTTACCTCGTCTCCTCCTTCCAGGTCCGCTGGTCAGATGTTGGCGGGATGGAGGAGGTGAAGCTGAAACTCAAACAGGCTGTGGAGTGGCCTCTGATGCACCCCGAGGCCTTCACCCGCATGGGGATCCAGCCACCTAAAGGAGTCCTGCTCTACGGGCCTCCAGGCTGCTCTAAGACCATGATAGCCAAGGCCCTGGCTAATGAAAGTGGGCTCAACTTCCTGGCTATTAAAGTGAGTTTTTATCAATTAGTCATAATACATTTACTCTGAGTGGTATCTTTTATTATCCTAAATATACGCCGTTTATCTGGTGTGCAGTGTATGATGAGTTCCAGTTGAAGAAGGTACTGGGGAAAAGGTTTTTTTTATTTTTTTTATCTTAAATATGAACAAATAATGCATTGCAGGTGAGCGTCTTCAAATCATGTTCTGGTTGAGTGATCTGCCAAAACACTGCATGCAGTATGACTCAGTTAAGGGAAAAATAAGGGAGTCCAAATACTCCCCCCAAAAAAGACAAGACTTCAGCTCTGTTATAATGCAGGTTTAGTGATAGTAAGTGATGTCATTAGCCTGATGACTGATGATTTGTTGATTCAATCTTATCTCACAATCAAGGCCTTATAACCTTACAAAGTCAGTCCATTTCCCCCAGACTTTACTAACAGTATAACCAAAGGAAGGTCACTGAAATGAAAGTGATTTGGTATAAAACACACTTCTCATCATATAAAGGGCAGTAGAATATAAAATACTGTGTATCATTTGTATTTCAAATTGGTAGTTTGAACTGTTTTAACCCCTAACACCTTTATTTCCCTAAAAGTGACAGTATCCTGACAGTATCTTATGTAGTATACTACTTTTCGTTGAAACTTTATGATATTTACACAAGTTAAATATTCAAACCCAAGACTCCATGTTTTTTTCATAGCTGCATCATTCTATCAAAGGCAAATATTCAGGATGTATTGTGCATAATTCTCCACAAAATTCAGCCTTAAAATAAAGTTCCTCGGATTGTAGACCATAATGAGTCTCCAACCTGTGAAAGAGAAACAACATCCTCCACATACACAGTATATCAGTGTCATGTGTCAAAGTACTATTGGAGATGTTTCCCTGGTGACCTGGAGGCGGTCTGACGGCCCAACTTCCTCTACAGAAAGCTTCCTTGTCTGACCTTTGACCCCGTGTTTGTCCCCTCTCATTCATCACTCCATCCTCCCTGCCACCACCATTGTCGCCCTCCCCTCGGCCCGTAGAGGCCTGGTTGACAGAGATTGATTGATCATCTTGTTGAATTTTTGATCAGTGGATGTTTGCGAAGCGGTTGCCATGCGAGACGGAAAGCTTCGACAGAATCTCTCCACCGGGGGTCATTAAGCCATCTGCAAATGCGGGTGTGATTGGCAAGCTTGTTTTTGTTTGTTTAGTTTTATTTGGCAATAGAATGCTGCAAAAACGTTTTTATAAATACCAGGAAAGAAAGCAGTTCAGTTCAATGCTACATGATAAATCCTGCATGATGGGGTTCAAAGCATGCATCTTTTGTGTGAAGTGTCTTTGAGTTCCTTCTTGCTCTATAAATAAAATATATTATCATTATTAATAAATGAAAAAAAACCACAAGATTGCAAAGACGTAGAAGTCAGAGGTCAACAATCAACATGAAAAAACCTTTTGAACAAAGCATCATTTTATTTTTAAATGGGTATGTACAATAGCTGACATACGAAATGTTTTCACTTTCACTCTAGTGTTAGAAACATTGTCATTGTTGCTGGATTGTGTTTTGTGTTTGATACAAAGGTGATAAAAAAAGAGCTGTACTATAATTGTGTGCGGCACTTCTCAAGTGATCAGGAAGAGTATCTGCTTCATGAAAAGGGTAAAAAACATCCTGTCCCTCGTGCTGAAAGCCACTCTCCAGCATCTGCAATAACAGTATCAGGTTTTTCCAGTGCAGCGGTTGCTTTGACATAGATACGTTATCCACATTTAAATGTGGATACTTTAAGGCTCAGCCTGTTTCCTCTGTGTGAAAAAGCCCTATTATCATCTTGTCAATTTCATTTTCCTCCCACTGCAGCCACTCATACACACTCACATCCGCAGATGCCTACGTGCACACAAACACACACACACACACACACACACAGCTTGTATCTCTACAGTGTCAATGGTTTTAAACTCACCATGTCCAGCCCTTGGCTCTGCCACAGAGAGAGGAACCTGGGATTAATGAGTCAACCTCCACACTTACTGCAGGAGACAAAAGGGCTGGGAGTTAAGTGTCGTCTCCTCCGTCAGCCCAAAGGTGTTGAAAGGGTGGATTGCAGGGGAGGAAGTTCTTGTGAGGGCTGAGTGGATGTTTATCTGCTTGTGAGCGAGGGAGAGGAGAGGGAGAAAAGGACTGAAGGAGAGGGAGAAGAGAGGGTATATGAGGTTCAGTTTGGAGGAGTAGTAAGTGGTGGTAACAGTGAGAGTAGGCTTAATTTGAAAAACGTATGAAAACAGCATGCAGCGTAAGTCTCTTCATCACGCCTCTGAAAGGTTTCCCATCCACTCTGAAATGCCTAAACAACTGGAAAATGGCTTGATTTCTTCTTTGTCTATGTTTCAATAGATCTGAATTCACTATTTAGTTGTTGTTATTGACGTATGCTTTCCGTCTGTGTTGTCAGATAACATATAAACCCACTTATAACACATAAAATGATTTGATCCAAGCTCATAAATTCTACCTCTTAATCAATAGAACAGTAATTCATCCTTTATGCTCAAGAATGCATCTTACAAAATAAACATACTGCATCAGGGTGTCCACTGGGTCTTAACAAGTCTAAATTCCAATAATCTGAATTTTAGGCCTTAAAATGCGTTAAATAGGATTTTGACAAGTCTAAAAATTGATGGGTTTGATAAAATAAAGTTGCAATTTTCAGTCTTGTGTTTAAATGTGTGTTTGGAAAAGATTTTGTATTGATCATGCTTGAACAACAAGAAAACAAAACCAGCCTTCATATCCTTTGTGCTTTTGTTTGCCAGTATGGAAAACAGGTTTAAAAAAGTCTTAAAATGTCTTAAAAAAGCTCCTAATTTTACTGCTGCACAGCAGTAAATAACATAATGTCTGTGCAGTGTATTTCATATTTTGGGTTTTACTGTCCATACTAAAATATGGCCCTAGTATTTGTTTCCCACTCACGTTTTTTCCATAGTCAAAAATTTTGGTCAGTTTTTTTTTGGGGGGGGGGGCATCCTTTTAGTGTGGACGGAAGGCCATAATGAAGAGAAAAAACATAGTCTTAGTAAAAGTGATGGTAGTAAAAGCTGCATATCTTGCATGTTCTAACTGCTGTCAATTTGTTGAGCTCTTTTAAAGCGGGATTTTGTGTCTTCCAGGGTAAAAAAACTGAAAATAAATCACTCACACTATTGGCCAATTACATGTCACAGTGTATTTGAGTAGCGGTGATCGAGGCTTCGCAAAAAAAAAATTGTCTAACTCACACAGACTGTTGATCTAAACTAAATGTAGCGCTTCGTTTTGGTCTGACACCTGACATTTTGGCTGAGAGAATATGCCAAAGATTAGACTCTAGAAAGTACAGCAGTGGTAGTACTAGTAGTCCTACAATGATAGGGCAGGCAGTAGTATCAAACACAATACTGTAGTGTTCACCCAACGGGAAATCTCTTTATTTGCCAGCTGAACCACAGATGTTACACACAAAGATAAACCGGCACATAGCGTACGGTGAGCAGTGAAACAGCACTGTGCAATTACCCCCCACCCCCCAGCTGTCCTTCATGACATTCTCACGCTGTGTTATCGCTGTTTCACTGTGTTTCTCTTTTTAATCTCCAAAAGACGCCACAGAGCAGCAGCTCTTTCCGAACGTTAGCTTTCAGTTTAAACCGTCGGCAGAGACAGGGCCACAAGGTGATACTTCACAAAACAGAACCATGATGGTGGCAATTATTTAGCCCTACTTGAAATCACATGCTATGAACTTAACCTTAGACGTCAATGTCTCGATTGGTTAGTTCAACATGCTTTTTTTCTTTCTTTTTGAAATAAAGCAAAACATATAACTCCAGCTTGATTATTAGTTAATATAATGTAGTACATATGCAGTATGTAAAATTATAGACCCCTTAAATACTGTTTGACTTTGGCTTTTTCAGGGTCCAGAATTACTGAGCAAGTACGTTGGAGAGTCTGAAAGAGCGGTGAGAGAGGTACGTACATTTAACTTCCCTCGCCTGATTATCACAATGAAAGATTTACAATGGTTTGTTGACCTTAACATAATGTTGTCGTAGAGTTATGCAGGCTGACATTCTTTAAGCCATCCAAACTCAAGTGTTGTGCTTCTGTAGATATTTTTAGTTGTTGATGTAATGGACGGATGGCCTGAGATGTAATTTATGACATTAATGAGTGCTGTATTTCCTGTGTATGTTTGTGCTGAGAATGATTCACTGGTCCTGTTTTCCTCTCTTCTATTGTTGCCAACACTGCTCGCAGGTGTTTCGGAAGGCGAGGGCCGTCGCTCCCTCCATCGTCTTCTTTGATGAGATAGATGCTCTCGCCAGCGAAAGAGGAAGGTACGGCTACTTTTATTAACACCATAGAAAGAGAAAAAATTGAAGAAAAGGCAGCTAAAATTAATGTCAAAAGCACAGTTCCTGCCCTCTTGATGGATTTTCGCTTCCTCTCTTTTAAAGTTCCTCGGGTGATTGTTCACTGACCGCTGCTACTGTCCACTGTTTACTATTTTCAGCACTGTGGTCATTCATTGTCCGGCGATGACAAATGCACAGTCATCACTGCGGTCTGCTTTAATTTACCATCCCTCGCCTGTGTCTCAGCTTGTCTCACAAAGATTCACTTATGAACGGATGGAGCAAACATCCCAAAAAGTCTGCATGAATGCTCTATCAAAGCCAGCCACTCAGTTCCCATGGTGTCCTCTTAGACTTTTGCGGCTTTTCGCTACCGGCGAACACAGAACACAGTCTTGTCCGGAGGCGCTTTAGTGGGATGGCACTGGGAACATCTGTGGCTTAAAGGAAAGAGGACGGGGGGCGGACAGAGGACACAGACCGGAGGCGCACAAACACTTCATTGTGCCCGTCCATGGCAGATGGGGAAGGCCAAATATGCAGCATGTTTCCTGGTAAACCAGTTGATGAAACTAAATGTTGTAGGAAGGAGCACAGAAAGGCCAACAGGCCGTCTCTATAACTTTTCCATGTGGGCCCTCAGTCAGATGATTCAAATGCTATGCAGCGTCTGCAGGGTAACATAGTCTGACCTCTGTGGTTTTGTTAAAGTACCTCTGATCATGAAATGTAGAATCATAACAGTTTATGTTAAACAAAAACATTTTCTGTACCATTCCATCTCGTCCTTTCCTGTTAGGATCACAACCATTCGTTACATTTTCTCAGTACAGTTCTTAACAGAAATATTTTGTCGCTCCTCTAAGAAAAACAATTTTGTAAATCCCAGTAACTGAATCCCAATATCCAGTGTATGCTACCAACCAGAGGCATAACAAATCATTTGTTACATTGATGTATTAATTATAAGTTAGGCCGATTCAGTTCATTGACGTGCAAAAAAGCAAATCAAATTTAAGATTCTTTTGTTTTTTCTCTCATAATATTTAGTGAAATAATAGAAACTATGTATATCTTATTTTAGAATAGTCCTTGAAGCTGATTCTAATGTAAGGATAGTTTTAGGTTTTTCTTTAATGAGTGCACAGAATCAAATTAAATTGAGACAACAACTGGGGCAGCTGTGGCTCAGGAGGTAGAGCGGTTCGTCCTCTAATCAAAAGGTTGGCCGTGTATTCCCTGCCCCTCTGGCTGCATGTTGAAGTGTCCTTGAGCAAGACACTGAACCCCAAACTGCTCCTGATGCTGTTCCATTTGAATGTATGTGAATAAATTAAATAGATTAGACTCATTAGTTTCTGTGTGTGAATGGGTGAATGTGACAAGTCTAGAAAGGCGCTATATAAGTGCGATCCATTTACCATTTACAACTGCTCTTGAAGTGAATTGCTGATTTTAAGAAACACATTGAATTGCAGCTTTGCAATACTTAGTCTCAGTGTCTTGTTTTATTTTTAACTGGGAAAGACTACTCGTCCTTTTTGTCCACCATCATTATTTTTAATACTATTTTCTACCTTTATATCTCATTCACTTAACTCTTCCCAACTACCAAGCTGTATAAGCCAGGCCATTCAGTAGTCAGCGCTGTAGAGCACATTTTCCAAAGGAGCCTGTAACACAGTTCTTGTACTTTGACGTTTTATTGCAGTCCTGACTGACTTATTTCCAGTGTGCAGGATACGACTCTATTGCAACTTGTCTTCATCCATCAATTTTTTTACCACTGACAAGTTCTCTCCGCTTTTTTCAGCATGATTGAGCTTCCCCCTCCTTATCTTGATGTTCAATTTTGCGAATGCACTCTGATTCTCCACCCAGCTGCACCAATAATGCAGTTACAGCGTGAGAGTTTGTCAGCTGGCTGCGATGGACGTGGAGCTGGACCCGCGCCTCGAGGCCACTTGCCATTTTAAAAAATGCACTTAGCGCTGATCTATAAAGGTTATTTATTGGTCTTTACTTCCTGCCATGTTTAATCAATGAAGTGGCTCACGCATACCGGCAAGAATTCAAAACTGTTGACACAAGCAGGCAGCCTCTGCTGTGTAGTGTATGTGTGTGGGGTTTTTTTTCCCCCGTCTCGAGGCAGGAGATGAGAAGCACCTGTAAATCTGTCAACTTACCTGCCACGAGTCCAAACTGGTGGAATGACAGAAAGAAGACAGGAAGAGAGGCAAACTATGGTAGACAAAAACAGACAATGAATGTTATATAGAGGCAGAGAGCAACAGATGAGAAAAGACACACAAAAAGAAGTTGGATTGACTGAATTGCAAATACAGTGAGTGCGTTCCTGACAGAGAACCTAGGAAAGAAAATGGTAGATAGTTATGAGAAATGAAAGGCGGATTGTTGGTTTTGAAAAGAACAATGAATAGGAGAGAGTGACATGTTTCAGTGGAAGTCCAAAGCACATTCTCTCCACTTTTCTATTCTCTCTCTATAGTGCCTCTCTTTTCTTTTTCTGACATCCTCTCTCCTTTTGTCTCTCCCGCTCACTCTCCCTCACCCCACTTTCTCTCACCACCTTTATTCTTCCTCTCCCATATTTTTTCACCTCATATTCTCTCTCATACGCGTTCTTTCTCCAATTCATCGCTCTGTCCTCCTTTTCGTAATCCTCTTTCCTTTTCTCCCCACTATCTCCCTTCACCCAAACTTTCTCTCCCTCTCTCTCTCTCTCTCTCCCCCTTCCCCTTCATATCTCAGTGACAGAGCTCCTTTGTGCTCCTCTGCAGCCTTGTCTCTGCTAATGACGTCTGGCACTTCCGCTGGCCCTGTCAACAGAGACTGTGTGTGTGTTTGAGCTGAGAAGGGTGGCTGTCTGCACTGCGTTATGGAAAATAACCACCTTGTAATACAGTGACTTACACATTGATGAGTTTCTTAAAGGATAAAGCTGGTAATATTCAAAATTATATTTTTCTTACTGTCAACAAATCCTATTTAAAGTATTAAAGGGGCAGACAAGGCCTGATATATCTTCTTCCTCTGTGCCATAGAGCTCCATTGTTGTCCAAATAACTATTAAAAACAATTAAAAAAATCAATGAGCCACACTGTTGCACTTGGTGACGTGTTCCTTCATTACCATGAGCACATACACTGTAGTTTGTGAGGAATCAATCCCACATACACCTTCCTGCTGCCCCAGATACTCACTAGATCATCAAATGTATATTAATTTGCTGCTGAAGATAGTCCCCATCAAATGCACTATTTACCTCTGTTTGAGTAACATTGCTGGTAGATATTTTGCATTGTTCCATTTAGCCCAAAGGGAACATTCTACTCGTGTTCTTTTACTAATCTCTGGCACACTGAAGACACATCTCAATAATCTGAGCTGTATTCTGCATTACATGTGTGCACTGGCTTCTGTCTTCCACATCACATTGCGTTCATGGAGACACAGTTTGAGTCCCAGGAATAAGAGTGTAGAAGTTACAGCATAGAGAGGAAATGTCAATGTCATGTTGCCAAATGACAAACACACACAAACACAAGGTGAAAACAGCACCATCCACTATCTATCAGGGCTGTCACGTATTATTTGAAATCCCAGCTCCCATTCAAACAACGGTATATGTATAAGCCACCAGACAATGCTTTGTACTCCAGCAGGGGCATTGCTAAAATGCACTGTCATTGCCTTAGAGGGCCATTACCATAAAGATCTGCACTGTGCAGACCTTCAGGAGGGTTGTGTTCAAATTATGTGCCAGTTATTAAATTAGGTTTAATTAAATGATAAGAACTCTGACTTTAAATATTATATATTGCACACACAATACTGATCTTAGAGTATAGAAACCGGTGTGGGATAAACTCCAGCAGTACATTTGCAAGTCCAAACAAGGTGACATATTTGTTAACTTTGTCTAAAGTAGGGCTGCTTTATTTGAGAGGGATGACGTGTTTTCTGCTGCCTTGTTTTGAGTTGCAGTTCGGTAGGACGTCATTGGCAGGAAAGCTCACTTTTTGCTGCCAAAGCCTTCCTTTTTTTTAAGAAGAAGAATTGTGCTAATGAAAGAACCTGCTATCAGAGTGTCAGTGAAACTATTCAAAAGTTCCCTGCAAGTATTCAAGAACTGGATGATTTTCCTCATTGCGTAACACAGCAAATATCAGTGATGAATGAGAAAAGTTTGAGGCCTGTGTTGTATTGGACTCCTGAGAGCAGGAAGTTGCATACTTTTACATATTTGTGTCATCCATGCACTCATCCATCCATTATCCACTAATTTCCATTCTCTCTCTTTCTCTCCATCATTCCATTTGTCTCTTTTCTATCCATATTTCTTCTTTCCACCATTGTTCCCTTCATTTCTTTACAGTACAAGCTGTCTGTCCTCCCAGCAATCCATCCATATATGTAATTCATCACTTCACACCATCAATGATATCTGTCTCTCCCAGTTTCTGCCTAATTTACACAACGTCCCTTTCCCTCCCATCATCTATTCTTCCATTCAGTCGTTCATCCACTCATCTATCTTATGTCCTCATCCACCCCTTCAGCTCCTCGGGGTCTGGCGGTGTAGGCGATCGGGTCCTGGCTCAGCTCCTGACAGAGATGGACGGCATCGAGCAGCTCCGAGACGTCACTGTGCTGGCCGCCACCAACCGGCCCGACATGATCGATAAGGTAAACAGACGCCGGCTCTCTGTCTTTATCTCTCCTTCCTCCTCTTTGGTCCGTGATTGATAAGGTTTGAGAGGATGTTGTGTGTTTGTCTCTCGTGTCTCCTCCTTTCCCTCCCTTCCTCTGTTGTACGTGATTGATAAGGTTAAAGGTCGCCTGCTCCGGTCTGTCTTCTTCGACTCTCTCTTCAGATGCTGTCACTGCACTGTTTTGGTGCAGTTGAATGATGAGTTTTGTATTTTTATTTGTTTGGTTTCAAGTGTATTGGTATTAAACATGTTTGGAGTGGTTTAGTCTACTGAGAGCTTTTGCTCATGTGGTTTAGTTTATTTGGCACCAAATAGCTTTGTGTCTTCTTCCAAGAGATCAAACGGTTGTTCATCATGACTGGAAACGAAAAGGAAATAACTTGGTAAATAATTTGAAAACCAGACTCCATAAATAAGTGATGTTTTTATCTAGAACACCAGCAAAGGTAAAATAGGGCGGAGAGTTCAATTAAGTCCATCATGCTTGGTTAAACTTACAGAGACTGGAATCATTTTGTTGTTTTCTGTTGCTGCCTTCACAACCTCTCAACTTGGGTTGGATTCCAATAGTCGCTTTCATTTTGGATGTCGCTCACATCCATTAAACATTTTTTAATATATACTTTATTAATCCCCAGTTGGGGAAATTCTATTCTATAAGTCTATTTATTTTTTTAAATACACACACAGGCCGAAACGCACACTCATGCACATGCAGAGGCTTGTGGACATACAAACAGGGAGAGATGGGCTCGCCTCGTTTAGCGGCACCCATGAGGGTTGGGTTGGTTGCTTGCTCAAATGGCACCTCAGCAGTGCACAAACTGGCAGCTACCAGTCCACACTACATATTGTGGTCTGTGGGACTTGAACCGCCGACCCTCCGGTTCCCAAGCCAAGTCCCTACACACTGAGCTACTCCCGCCTTTATTATTTATTTTTTTTTAACAGTTTTCAAAATACCTGGGTTGTCTTGGTGTCTTATCAAACATTTTATGTCTTTTTGATCCTTTTTAGTCATGCTAGTGGCATGGCTTTAGGGTGGCCATGTTGGTCCATCGGTCGGTCCACCACAGTACTGTCTGGAATATCTTAGTAACTATTAATTGGATTGTCCTTAAATATTGCACAGACATTCATGATCCCCAGAGGATGAATCCTAATAACTTAGGTCCTCTGGCTTTGTATCTAGCATTAGCAGCAGCTCGAAGTTTTCACTTATTCAGTGAAATGTCTCAACATCTACATAAATTTGTACAAAATGGAAAAAAATGTGTACAGACATTAATGCGTTCCAGACATCCTACTTTGGTAATCCCCCGACTTTTTCTCGATGAGGTTGACGGCTGATGGTTTTGTGTCTCAACAACTATTCTATGGTTTGACGCGGATGAATAGTAATAGCTTTGATGATCACCTGACTTTCTTCAGTGCCATCATCAAACTTTCAGTTTACTCAGTACTTTGGTTCATGCACTTCACTTGCATAAACTTCCTGTTTAGTGCTAATTGATGAATGTTAGCATGCTAACATGCTAAACCAAGATGGTGAACATGGTGGACATTATTCTGGCTTAGCATCGGGATGTTAGCATTTGCCTCAAAACACTGCTGTGTGCAGAGTTGCTAGCATGGCTATATAGACTCTTAGTCTTGTTAAGTCCTCTCTCAAAGACCAGTGTATTTATTTTACATTAGTAAAATTCCCATTTTTAGCCGGTGTGTTTAGCATGTCAAATTCAGGACAACCTCACAACCTCAATGTTTTAAGCTTATCTAATGTAATAGCTCTGCACTGGGACTTTATCCAGTGTTAGGAGAAAGTAGCGTGTGAAAAATAATGTTTAAAAGTAAGGCTACACCTGTTATTCAGTGTCAGATTCATTTATTGAACATTTCACATCTAATTTTCAGGTTGTAGCTACAGGTTGTGAGCATTAATTAGGCTCAAGCCAATGAACAGCTACAGCAGAGGAGCAATTTTACTTCTGATACAGCCAAATTAAAATGCACTACAGGTGGGCATAAAACATTTCTCTCTCCTTTCTTTCTTATTCTCTTCCATGACAAGTTGAGAAAATTAAGATACTATCAGTCTTTTTATTCATCTGCCTCCCCCCTCCATTTTGTATTTTCTACCCTTTTATCTCTTTCTCTTCCTCTTCCCATCCACAAAAGCTTTCTTTGGCCTCTTATCCACCCATCTCCGTCCTAATGAAATTTCCTGAGTGCTGATCAAAGACGGAGCCTGTGCCTTGTCAAAAAGGACACAGGAAAGGAGAATGTCGCGGTGCTTCTTAAGCTCCTGCTCAGGCTGCCATCTGTCTCTGTCTTTCTTCTGTTTTTCTGTCTGTGGGTCTCCTCCTTAACTTACTTTAAATATACTTTAATATCCCTGATGCTGAAAGGAAGTACTTAATTCTAAAAAAAACATATCCATCATTTAAAAAAATAATAATAATAACAGCATCTAATGTTAGGGAGTGATTGCTTTTTCAGTAATTGTCTAAACAGCTTTACTTAAAGTGCAATTCTGAGAACTTGTTTTTCTCTTGGTGATAAATTTGTCCATCATGGCTATTGGTCATAAAAAAAATTGTACTCACCACCACAAAGTTACAGTACCGTCTGTGTAACCTTTTTTCTAAAGTAAATGTGAATGATTTTTTTATTTTATCTTTCCCCTCAAACTTTCAGTTTTAGCAGTTTACAGAAACCAGGTTTCTTGTTTATGATGTTGGACACATCAGATTACTGCAGAAAGAGGATTGTAATCCAGTCACTTAAAGTGCATGTAAATGCACTCACTGTATATATACAAATCATTACACACCATACACTAGACAGAATCATCACCTTAATAAGCTTTTGGTGAATTTTTTTAATAATCATTGCATATTTTCACCTTTCATTACTCTTTCAGCTATTCCGTGCAAACCTAATGTTTAACCTTTTTTCTACTACTTTCTATTTTTATACATAATAATATCTCAGCATCGGCGCATGTGCAGTCGTTTCATGCAAGCTGGTAACTGCTCACTGCAAATCTATCAGTGCTTGGAGATACTCTTCGGATAAATCTTCCGCATACAAATTTTGGGTAACCCCCTCCCCAAACACTCCACCCCCACCTCATTTCTAGCCCACTTGTGGAGAATTGATCCACCGCTGTGGTGGGGGAATGACAGCAACTTCCTCCGCCTCTGCAACTGTTTGCCGTCTCATTTCAAACTCCATTAGCAGCATGGCCAGAAACAAGCCTCAGACTGTGTTTGTGCGTGTTTGTGTGTGTGTGTGTGTGTGTGTGTGCGTGTGTGTGTGTGTGTCTGAGAGGGCAAAAGATGCATAAAGAGAAAGAGAGAGAGAAAGAAACTCTTATAACAGTAGGTAGGGGGTCAAGCCCCTGGGTGGACAGATGGGAAACCCCAGGCGTCCTTCCACAAGCTGGCCTCACTCTCAGGAAGTGGTCTCCCGGGTAGCTGAGAAATCAGATTACCTCCTCCTTCCCGCACCCCCCACTGAGTGTGAGTGAGTGTGGTTGTTTAGAAAGGTTCAAGCGATTTGAATGAAGAACCTATGACATACATTGGGAAAGGAAGCTGCCAAATGGACAGATAGGCACCCCACGTTTGCCCCCCACCCCCAACGGTTTTAGCACCCTACCCGCCTTTGCCACCACCGATGCTGACTGTCAGTTCACACCGGAGATGGGCGGTCATTTCCATACCAATGGCAGGATATGATGGGACAAATGAAGATTAATGGGACGCTCGGGTGTCAATGAAGTCATTGTCGACTCTTGGTGTTGCAGAGGAGGCTCCTGGGGGCCTCAGCTGTTTGATGGACAGAGTGGGAGGGATGAAGAGAGGGGAGAAAGTGGCGTTTACTTTAGTTTGAAAGGAGCAGGCCTGGTGTCTATCTTTCAACCAATGCCACAAGACAGTGTGGATTTCCGCTTCTTATCAAGTTAAAACAAGGTTCTTTCTTTCTCATGTAGCGCCAAAGTCACAATGCTTTATTTGTTATACCAAATAAAGTTAAACTCTTTAAAGCATAAATGATATAATCACTGAGTAATAGTCCCATAGTCATGTTTAGGACGTATTTCAGCCAGAATGTGAATCTTTACATGAAATGTCAAATATTCTGTTTATCATAGTCCATAAGCAAAAAAAAATGCGACATGGGGCTGGGCATAAATATAAGAGGGAGAAAAATATAAGCAGGACAGTTGAAACATACACTTGTAAGTGGTCTCAGGTGGTACCTAAAACACATATTTGGCTATTCTGTACTAGAATTTTTTTTGTATCAGCTGACACACTTGCTACCAGTATATTGGCATAGTTTCTTTGTATTTGCTCTATATGAAAAATGTCTTTCTTTTCTCATCTGATTTAGACTCTGCTTTATCTTTTTAACACCAACTAAAAGGGCCCAAAGTTGTAATAATGCTGAAGCTTAACTTTTACAACTAAGACATCCTGTCCTTTTTGCACACGCACAAAGTTCTCCAACTTCCTCTGGCCTTTGTATTACATCAGTGACAAACAGGAGCAGGTATGCAACAACATGCGCACATAATGTGACTAATTCAGCTGAATCACATCCTAACAAATGGATAACAAAAGAACACAAATAGATAGTTTTCACACAAGCGCACAAAGTCCCGCTGCTTCCTCTCGCCCTTTATATTGCAACAGTGACAAATGCACTGCACATTATTCACAACTGTGGACTAACTATAGTAATCCGCTCATGTGCCAAACACAGACACACATTTCACCCTCTTTAACTCCCACATCATCATCTGCTACTCTATATCTAATTGCTTAAACTAATGCAACAAGTGTAGAAGTAGAAGTAGTAGAAGTAGGTTAGTCCATTCCTCTGCATGATGACATGTCACCCCCCACCCCCCACCCTCCCATGCACCTCCTGCCTCCCCCTCCACCTTTAAAAAACTTCTTACAC